CGATGGATAAATATAATTATTTATACTTGATGTAAGAATGAATTTGTTGTATGTGATGATGATTGATGAGATTTACGTCCTTTAAAAATACTACGAATCATACGACGAATTCGATCATGAGATAAATCACGAAATTCTTTTTTACAAGCATTTTCAATAGCTTTTTCTTGTTCATCAGATGATGTTGAACCAAGAGATGATGAATCATTAATTAATGTTTGAATAAATGACTAATAAAAAAGACGACATATAATAGGCTTTTTTTTCTTCTTCAACTTTTCTTATATTACTTTAAGACTTTTCATGCGTAATTGAGAATCATTTTCTTTCTTAGTTTTATTACTGTTGTTGTTGTTGTTATTATTATTATTATTATTATGAGTATTGACATCATTATTACTTGTATCATTTTGATTTGATGAATGCTTGCGCGAAGAAGAAGAAGAAGGATTTGTATGAGTTACAGTTGTCCCATTGGTACGATGCGGTGACCGAGAACGATCTTTTGGTGAATGAGCAAGCATATCTAGAGAAAAAAAATGATCACTTACTTTATATTATTTACAATGAGATATTTTCAACACAAGACGATGATGAAAAAAAAAAGAAGAAGAGAATCTTCTTTTTTCTTTGTATTCATTATTTCTGTTTCTTTTCAGTTACTCTGTCATTATTTATGAGAATACGAAGTGATGAATGAACAGACCAAGTATATTCTCTTCCTTTTAAACTCTTTCTATTTTTCTCGCTATTAATCTGTTGATACTTTACCGCATGTTCAGGTTGACATACTCATAGACATGCGCTGACTTGTCTCACTAATAGGACGACGCTTGAATCAATTTCAGAAAATGAACTCCAAGTTACATACACATACATACACACAAGAGAAAAACGACGCACAACGGACGGAAAGCTCTTTTCCTGTCTTGTTCTCCCAAAAAAAAATTTTGCTCCCTTTTTTTCTACCTATCTCTTTTCTTTTTTTTTTTTGACTACAAGACATCTCACCATTATAGCTAACGAAGGTGAAAGCCGGTAAACGTCTTTATGTGTGCAATGTCGGTAAACTATTAAAAACAGAAAGTGAACGTAGTGAGTATGCTCATTCCGCTCGTCTAACAAAGAAATTGATAATGAAGACGAACGACGCATTTTGCACTACTACTCACATCACTATTTTCCTTCTTGCCTTTTCCTTCTCTTCATCCAAAAAAA